ATATATGAGGTAGTAGAATAAGGATGAGAGAAATGAACAGACTCCTTCTTGGGTATATAGAGAAATAAATAAAATTATGTCTAGTTACAGGGAAAATAAAGTAAAACATCAGATGTGATGTTATTATTTCTGCTATTCTCAAATTAACTCTTCATTTTTAAGGAAACCTTTCGAACATCCTGACTGGAGTTATCTATGAATATATCAGTTAGAAAACTTCTGTGGACTAGAAAGCCAGTTATTTCTTGATGCATTGGGCAATTTAAAGTTGTTTTCCAAACTGGTTATCTCAATCCATGTTCATGTATAATTTGTGTAAAATAAACTGCCTTGAATCTGCCATCTGAGTTACATTTTTAGAGGGTCTCCCTATTTAGCTGTCATCCTCTAAGTATCTACCGGTACAGTATGCTCATGCAAGAATGAATTTTTAATTTAGGAAGGGATAAACCAGACAATTTTACATTGCAGGAAAAAAGCAACAAAATGTCTTATCAAATCACTTTCCTGAAATGTACAATCCTGTAGCATATCTGGAAAAATATGCTAATTATTTTATTTCAATCCAACCTACAAACTTTTTAAAGAAAATAGTTTCTGTAGTGTAATTACTAAGATTTCATTTTTATAATTTTCATATTTTGAAATAAATTGATCATAGATTATATAGAGATTATCAGTGCTGAAAAATCATTCTTATTAAAGGACAATCTGAAATATGATTAAAGTTCCAAAGGAAAAGAAAAATAATCAGGTTGGCCATTCCATTCACCCAGGTTAACAGCTAAATAAGTGGATTATTTGAACTGATTATCTTCAATATATATTTGTATTCAGCTATACAATATAAACTGAATCCAGGATGTTTTTTCCTGAGTGTGCAGGAATTCTATGAAGTTTCTTTCTTTCTCTTGCATAAAAATGGTTGTTTTTAACACATCTCAGTATAGTCTAAAATGGAAGATGCTCTGGTTTCTGCATCATATTGTTCAGTTATTTAAAACATTTTCATAAGTCCCAGAATATAATATATATTATTTTATTTCAAGGTGAAATTATTAGTCATGAAAGATTCCAGATGTTTATTACAGGAAATCTAATACTTCCCCATGATGAATGTCTAACAGTCAGTATACTACACCTCACTATGGATTATCTTTCACAGTCAGGGTGCAAAAAATACCTAGTTCCCAAGCTTCCTTGACTTCTCGCAAATACAGGTAATAAAAGTAATCCTTTAAGCTTGGATACTCTTGATCAGATCAAGTACCCAAGCATTATCAAAAGTTGTATGTTCGTTTTTCAGTGTCATCCTGATATCTCTTATCCCTTCCAAGTAATTGAAGATAGGCATTTATATTAATTTGGCCTCTTTCCTGGGACAGCACTTTCTTTTATACATTTGGGGGGAGGGGGAGGGGAACGACGACACAAGAACAGAAGGAGGCAATTATTGTAAATGTTCTCATGGCTACAGTGGAAAATATTTTGCTTATTATATAGGATGGATTTTGACCAGAGTGGTGGAGGGTCTACATCACCTTGGTGGTACTACTGAGCTTTACAGTTTCCAAACCATAATCCATGTGGAACATGTTGTTTTCACCTTATTAAGTTTAGCATTTTCTTATCTGTTCTTAAACTCTGGTTGGATTTGTCTAAAGCTTGTAATGTAAAAGCTGTGGCCTTGGGCCAAGTTCTCAGATATTAGGAATTGTTACTGACATCAGCAAAGTTATGACAATTTATACTGACTAAGTGTCTGTTTTCTTAAAATTACTGGAAAGTAAAATACAATCATTAAAATTTAGATATGAAGGAATAAAATTATCTTTGGAATCATTTGTTGCTAGCTTATATGGGTAAAACCAGATAGAGTCTCCTCTCTTGTGTTCAGTCAGAATACAGAACACCAAAGGAAGTTGCTGATGGCTTGAATAAATGAGTGATATTGCTGCTAATAGAGAACCTGAAGTCTTAATTGGTTTGCTGTAAACATTACAAACACGTTCGCATGCTTCCATTCACTTTGTGTGCTGTGTATTAGATAGATGGTATTCACACTGATAGCTGTAATTTAATTACAAGAAGTCTGTTCCTTATTCAATTTCTGTTGTGTCATCCCATTATGCTGGGTATGAAGCATTGCAAGGTTCAATACAGCATGTATCATGATGTCAGAGAGATAATGCCACACAATGGCTCAATTTTGGTTGTAAGGATTTTCATCCAGATTGGAATCAATGTTGTAAATGGTTATTAAATCCACACATTCTGGCTAACTGAAACAAAGTGAAAGATCTGAGGAAGCACATTATTTTTTATTACAAAGAACAATTGCAATGAACAGTAAAATTGCTTACCATTGGTGAATCCATCAATATGAATAAACATATCAAACTTCACAGGACTGAGGACCTTGCCCACAGGCTGCCTTCTGAGGCTGAATGAATTTACAGTATGAACAAATTCATTCAGCCACTCCAATTACTCAATTTACTACAGCTGCCAAACAAGTGATTGGAGCAATACTGCAGGCTGTAGAGTGTAGGTTTTCTTCCTTCTCAACTACTACTAGGGATTGTCCACAAACTTTGAAAATGTCATCGCACTTTCTTTTTTATGCTTTTGTGGAATACACTTTCCAACCAACAAAACCCGCTTGAATGGAGACCATAATTATCACTTTCTCAAGGGTTAGATAAGTATAATACGTTTCAACACTGCCTTGTGAGAGTGGACATGCCAAAGGATATTAAAGAAAAAAGGTGATAGGATGATGTAAAGGTCTGTGAGACAGATTTGAGAATAAATCTTGCCCAAATATTTCACCATCTTATATGGTTCCTAAAACTTTCTAGGAAAAAGTATTAGAAAAAAAGGACTTTCTTAAGCACATTCCTATGAGCATCCCTACTTAAGGACAATGCTTCTGCCTGAAACCTCAGAAGGAACACATAGATGCTAGGTTGGGAAACTTAATACAGCAGATATTTGGGTGAGTATTTTGAACATGAAGTACATTAAAAACTGCTGAATTCTAGAAAATGAATCTGTGATACAGTTGAGGGTTACAGGAAGCTGTAAACCTTTGGAACAAGATTATGAGTAGCATCAGTGTCATTGGGTGGGAAGGTGCTACAAATCTTTTGTTAAGAGAAATAAAACAAAGAGGGTCGGGTAAGACATGAATAAGCATTAAAATCTGTTTAGCTTGGTCCTGATTATTCTGGATTAGTATTCCTACTAATTTGGACTGCTGATTTCATAGTTAAAAATGGATATGAAACACTATTTATTGAATAGTTGATTAGAAGACTGGTTTATAACAAACGGTTCTTAATCTGCCCTTCACTTTGATAGATAGTCTTCCATCCCTACAACTTTACAGAAGGAAAAGAAAAAAGCAAATCTTAAAACCACATTTTTATGTGTCCCCTCAAGGTCTCAAGTGTATTTACTGCTCTCCATTCACATCTCCATAGTGGCATGTAATTAAATGGTGTGTCCTGGCTGGGGCTGGACTAGAGTTCCCGTTGGTCTGGCAGCGGGAGGAGCTGCAGCACCCTGAGACCCCAGGGGCTCCCCAGGTCCCAGTGCCCTCACCTGTGTGCAGGGGCGGGGGGAGCACAGCTGGAGGGCTGGGCCCGGATTGGCTGATAGTCCATGTCACGTGACATTGTGCTCACTATATAAAGGCAGGAGAGGGCTAGGAGGGGCTGTTGCTTCTGGGAGTGTTGCTGTGGGGCCTTTGTGTTTGGGATTACCAGTTGGTTGGGAGCAGGCGGGTGTCGGTCGGCGTGTGGTAAGTTACCCGCTGACACTGCTGTCAGCGTATTATTCTGTTACTGTTATTAAACTGTTTTTATCTCAACCCGTGAGTCTCCCTTTGCCCCTCTGATTCCCTCCCCGTTCCCAAGTGGGGGGAGGGTGGGTGAGCGGCTGTGTGGCATTTAGCTGCTGAGTAGGCTCAAACGATGACAGTCCTTTTTGGCGCCCAATGTGGGGCATGAAGTGTTGAGATAATAACAGGTTTGATCTGTGTGTACTATCAAGTTTGTTATAATGCTGACTGCCCATCCTGTTATAATGTCATTTGCTTGGCTCCTAAAATCGTTGGTTTTGTTGCTGCAGTTGTGTTATACATCACATTACTTACTGTATGTAGTCCCCATGCTGCTGCTTATTACCCGTGGGAATTGGATTAGGATTTTTGCCTTGCTGTATTGTGTAACAATAATCTATGGCATGATAAAATCGTTGGTCCTGGGAGTAGTGGGGCATTTGTACTCAGCATGGTCGTTGTCTGTGTGCACCGGGGGGCACCTACTGGAATGGGTTAGTAACTACACCTTCCACCTTTTCTCGGAGAGCCCACCCAAGAGGGAGATACCTTTTTCCATCTTCCCCTTTTCTAAGCTACTTGTGAGTATACTTGAGAATGCTGAGAACTCTGAATATCCATGGAATGCTCATATTAACATTGTTATCTTGTTTCTGGAAGCTGTAGTGTTCCTGAATGTGGTTCAGGTTCTGTTTTGGGTTAAGCAGCTGTTTCTGAATACCACCCAGAGGTCTACCCCAGGGTTGCAGAGTTATGAGTGGCTGGGAGTGTGGGGTAGCATGGGCAAGTACTTAAGACAGTAGGGACCTCCAATGTTTTGGAACTTCACCCCTGTAACAAGTGCGGGATCCTGAGAAACTAGTGAAATACTTAGAAAAGGTGTGCTGTCATCCTGACACCTCAAGAGAGACACAGATCACTGCAACATGCTGGGGCCTGGCCCATGCCTACTGAACCCTGCTTGCCACTATGCAGTATCCTCAAAAGGAAGATGTTTCTGCATCTGAGAGCAAAACAGCAGACACTGCAGCCACTCTGACTAGGGCAACAGACACTGCAGCCACTCCGACCTCTACGATAAGTAGTGCGGGTGAACCAGAGAATCAATCCATGGCAGTATCAGTTGCTCCCATACAGAAGAAGAAATACACTAAAAAAAAATACGGAATGCTTCACGAATTTGCATGTCATCCTTGTGCAGGGGCCATGCTAATCTTCTCTGTATCATTAAAAAAATTATTCCCCCTGCATACAGGCAAGGGCTCTCTGACCTAGAGAGCCCCTGGGGTCTCAGTGTGCTGCAGCACTCCTCCCACTGCCAAACTAACAGGAACTCTAGTCCAGCCCCAACCAGGACAGGGTGCTTCTGACTTTCAATATCATAGTGAATTTAGGAAAGAAATCTCTTCGTAAAATGCAGATTTTTCATGCTGTGAGTTTTAGGGACCCTAATTTCAATGAAATGCTTTGCAAAATGTGGATGTTAGATGAGCAGGATAAAACAACTGAGGAATCCTGCTATTTGGGAAATTACTTTTTTTTATGCTAAATGGGGGAAAATGGTGAATCTAATAAAGTAAAAGAGAAGGGGGCTATCAATGACTCCCTTCAAGGCAGTGTGCCAGGCAGTCTTGGCCAGATTTCCATAGTACTACCTTTGGATTTTATTAAATTAAAATAAAACCTGTCATCCTGGCTTTCATTGGCACAGTCAAATGCACAGTTTTTTACTTAGTTCCAACATCAGCCTTGCACTTCCATCCAGCATTAATATTTCACAATGTAATATACATAGTTCTGTGGCATTTTTTACATATCTGGCAAACAGTTACTGAAAAATATTCTGTTAAAAGTTAAACAGTGTTACTAACTATTTGATCATGTCAACTCCTTTTCGCTGTTTTCCCTCAGGGACCAAAACATTTGGAAATGTGAATCAAAGAAATCAGAAATGGAAAAGTCCCATTATGTCATCTAATCCAATCCTCCAGTAGCACATAATTGTTCCCCATAATACTTTTTTCCACAGTTTTGTTCAGTCTGGTTTCAGATACTTGGGAACACTGCTCGCCAACATGCTTTTTGAAAGCTGGATGGGTAGACTTCAGACAGACCCAACATCACCTCTAAGGTCACCTCTTGCCTCTTCTGATTTGTCCTGGCAGTCACAGCTTTGTAGGGGATCATATAGGGACTGGGGGTTGCCAAAATGGAGAGGAAAAGCTTCAGCTGCATGTTCTCCTTTATATCCCTGCTGCGATTTTCCTTATGTAGAAGGCTAAAGTAATGCAAACCAGACCTGCTTCACATGCTGATGGGAGCAGCTTTTTCACCTAGTTCTACTGCTTCTGTCAGACTTCAGCTGTGAATCTGGACTAGAGGACTCCTGTCTGGGTCCTGAGGGATGAAAGCGCCTGCTAGATAGGTTCCACCATTAGTCAGTGCAGTCTGACACAGATCTGAACAATGTGAAAACCCAGCAGCTGTCAATGATTTATATTATTCCTTGCCTCTCCCTCTCAAGGCCTTGGACAGTCACTGGTAAGAATGGCAGCATCAGAGGCGTATGGTTGGTCTGGAGGAGAAGTAGTTCACAAAGTGTAGCAGTGAGTTAGAGTCTTTCCCAGGGGAACATCTGAGACATTCCAGTTTTGTTCCAGTAGTGTTAGATAACCTAAATTATTGGGCTAGTATCAAAGATCTGCATAAAGCTCTTCCTCACATTTCTGTGCATTCAGAAAGGTAGAGACATACCTGCTATCTGAAGGACAGAGGACCATACAGCCAAATTTGTGAGGATATAAAGGAAACATCTTTCTCAGGTGGACTAGGGAAACAGGAAGCCCAGCAGATAGAGGAGCTTGAAGACCTGGAGCTACTACTGTTATTGCTCTCTGCTTCTCCTAAACATCTACATGCCTAATTGTTCTTGAGTGTCAGCTGCTCATGAGACACCCACAATGTGCTTTTGCCTCTGGCAAAAGTATTTCACAAGGGCATTTTCTGGTCAGGAATTTCTGTCATTATTTAACACACTTTCCATCTATTTAACCAATAGGTATACTTCCACCAATCACAATGGATATCTGTTCCGTCCAAGTTCAAGATAATTTCTTACATTCTTTGAGTAAAGGAATCCCAAAGGAGACTTGATCATTCATATACTCAAACAAAAGTCAATCAGTTCCTCTCTATATTTTTATTAGATGGTAGAATACTGAATAAGTATGAAAAGTTTTAGGCATCGCTAGAGAAGCCCTGTTTAGGATCGTTACCTGACCCTGAGCTATTCTGCAGTGTCCAGGAGGCTCGTCACAGGATGAGCATGAAAGTCTGTGCAGAGCCACAAGATCATGCTTGGATATGTTTTTCTAACAGGTCTTAGAAACCTCTTCTATTACTATTCTTGTGCATTTGAGATGAACTTGGTATCACAGGCAAAAGAAGACAGTTTTGTAGTGCACACCTGCACACTTTCTGTGCAAACTGAAGGTTAATCAAATCCCAAGGATGATCCCTGATAGGGAAAATAAACATGCTTACCCTGTGTTTGTCTTTTGATAACTTCTGAGCATCTTGTTTCCTGCAAATTATGACAGCTAATATTGTATATTTTGATCTTAGTTATTGATTTTGGAAAAAAAAGGCTTGTTAAGTGGGCTAGTGACAGGTAGCTTGGTAATTTCAAGGGACTGGTTCACAGTCCTAAGGACCTTGGATATTGTCCTGGGCGATACATTATCCTCATCAGTGTTTCATTCCTGCCTATAACCTCCTTTAACTATAAATTCAGAATACTGCTATACAAATAAATTGAGATACATATTATCCTCTGAACAAAATAATATAGCTGTTAACCTTATTCTCTACATTTAGATATATGTAGATGTATAGTGTATAAGTATAATCAACATGTCATTAGTCACAAATCAATGTACTATGGAAAAAATATAGGCATTCTTTTCAACGTGTATGTGCTGCATCTGTTACAAAGGAAGTTGAATTATATATGCACTTGAAAATACATGTGTTTTCATTTTGTGGTAGAGACCCTATTTATTTCATTTCAGATTCGCTGCAGAAACCTGCCATGCAAGCGAATAACTTAGCATCATTGGGGAGATTTTAAGATTCTCTAGCTGTAGAGATTTATGCAACTGTTTATGGAAATGTGGAAAAGACTTTTTCACCAGTAAATGTCTAGTTACATATTTACCTAAAATATACATCCTGGGCTTTGTTTATTTACAGGTATGATGTGAAATCTCTATATGGAGCCTGGAATTTTGTGAAGTATGTCCTATAAACAAATTAACACTGAGAAGTCTTTCAACTATCTATAACATCTGACACTGTTTCTGAATTTCTAAACAATGGCTATAGTTTTGGTCAGAGCTCATTTTACTGATTCTGTGGGGAAACCAGAATTCACAAAATGTATCCAGCAGATTCTCCTTTGTACAAAGAATTCATCTGAAGAATGAGAAACAAGGCTATGAGCATATTATCATCCAATTATTCCACAATCCACTATTTTTTACTTTTGAAATCACATTGACTTCAGTAATTACTTGCAGTTTTATTTCAGAAGTAGGATTTTGAACTGTAAGAATGCAAAATACAGTCCACTCCATGCAAAGCTTATTAAAAAAAAAAGTATTCACATGAAAGCACTTTCAAAATACTAAGCTAGATGATGAGTATAGATGCCAAAACAGGTTGATAAATCCTTCAATCATCCTGTGTCTCTTCCAGCAGTTTTCAAGTCATATTTGAATTTCCTGCTTTTCAGCAGAATTCACATACCTTTATTTTTTTTTTTTTCTGTGAACAACACAATTAGCAGCTTAATCTTAATAAAAGATGTTCAGTAAATCTCATTCTCATATATGAAGGTATTTCCAGAGAAAGCTCATTTCCATAGCATTTTAGGCTGGCATGTGAGAAAGGAGGCATCCCAATATTTTCTAAGGAAACAAAATTCTATCATCATCTTCCCTCAGTTTTTTTGAAAATGATTGCATGAGCCAGTGTATCAATCATATTATTTTTCTGGATGTTTGTTTGTTTTTGTTTTTAAAGAAGTGTGGCTTGAATTTTTGGTCCTTCTCTCATACATGGTTCCTGGTTTTTTATTCAAACTAATAGAGCTCAGATGCACGGCTGGTATTTTGGAGTATAAACTTTGAAGGATAGTTGCCCAGATTCCCACTACTGAATCAATTCTATAAAAAACTGTTGTTTCTTTGAGGCTGCTGACTTAAAGTCCAATAGAAAAAACTTAAGTACCGTGAAGACAGAAAGGATGTCCCTAGAATCAGAAATAAATGAAACAGAATGAAGAATCAGAATTTCTTTCTGAATTTGGAGTTTGGCCAAGCAAAAGTGAAGATAAACACAAGCAGGTTAAGATGTTTGTTTATATTGTGTTAATAAATAATCTTCTCCAGGATTAAGTATCTTCTGTCTAGATTATATCTGCTTACTAATATATTGTCAGTGAAACCAAATGGAGCACAAATAAGGTCTTGTTTACTCCGTTTTTTAAAGGCAAAAGATAAGGCAGTCTGTATAATTTTTTTTGCTTTATTTCTTCAACGAAGATTTCCTGATGACAAAAAGAATACATAACTAGCACCCCAAATTGTTTGGAATGTAAATGTTCTTTCACTAAATCTCATCTACCATGTTCAGAAGAAGGGAATTGGCTTCAAGTGAAAAAACAATATTGTACATATACAAACCTATAAAGAGGTTGGAATTGTAATGAGAATGTACTGTCTCATGGCACTTTCTGCACCGTTTGATCATTTTCATTTAAAATTCATATACAAACTAAAATGCTACAGATTGCTTGCATCGTCACAACCACTAACAAACTTTGGCTGAGTTTTCAGTATCTGCAAGGATGGAACTCGTATTTCTTGTGGTTCCCTGTTAACTTTAGCATATTTATGTGTGGATATAAGACTCTACCTATGCAGTGTTATGGTCAATACTGCTTTATGTTTCTCATATTTCTCTGTGTTTCTAAGTGAATGTTAAATGGTGAGGCCTGATCCTGTGAAATCTATTCACGTCGATGTGATGATCACACTGATTTGATTCCCTAAAGCATGATGCCTGCTGGATTATACTACTACTTTAGAATATACCTAGTGCCTCTATTTGGGATTATCTGAAAAATGACTGTCAGAGAAAAAGAGGCAATTTTCCAGTTTTCTTGCAAATGAGTGTCTTTTCTGTAGGTAAGCAGAAAA